GTGTGGGCCACGAAGACATGCAACGACATGCGTGCTGGCGTACCCTCTACCAGTTGAGCGCGTCGTCTCCTATAAAGAGAGTTAGAGGGAGAGCGAGAAGGAGGAAGAGGCACCCGATGATGAATGGGAAGCTCTCAGTCGGTGATGATGATCATGAGGCCCGGCGCGCTGCAAGGAGAACTAAGCGAGAAGCTCCAAGCCACTCACATGTGGCTCAGTTGCCTGCTTTGCTGCCTATTGGGCGGCGACAGCTGCCTGGTAGTAACACGGCCCGGGTAACTACAGAGGCTCTAGTTTCAGACTCCTCGAGGCCTTAATCTATTCCCGGGTCTCACGAGCCTCGCGGAGGTGTAACACGCGAACGCACTAGAGCCGACGGACTGACTTCCCGTCTAGGCCTGCAGGACCTCGGGCAGCCAAGCCGCGGCCTAGGGCCTAAGGCCGATTGCACGCGCGCAACACCAAGGAACACGCGAGACAGCCCGGGTGTTGCCCTTTTGCCTCCCGCGACGCGTTCTGATCAGGCGTCCCCACGTGGTTCACGGGGACACAATCATTTCCTTTTTTTTTTCTTCTTCTTCTTTATGGCGCTATCTTCGAGACGTGCCTAGTTCAAAGAAAGATGGCGGATGACTTGCTTGCTGATGCCGCCTTGCGGGGGACCGACGAGATTGCGGACCTCGTCAAGACTCTACGCGTCGATACGGTCCGGTTGGATGAACGCGAGCAACTGATCCTGGACCTTCACGACCAACTTGAAGAGTTGAAGCTTGAGCAAGCTTTGCTGAAATCACAGCGCTCAAGTAAGTTGACGCCAACTTTTTTCCTTTCTTTTTTATCTTTTCTCCCTTTTCTCCCTTCTCCCCACCTTAGCATTTACTATTATCAATTGCTTGGTTTGACTCGACAAATGTCACGTGGGGTAATGGATTGACATTCGAAGAAGCCACGAGCTTAGGCTCGTCCAATGTCTCAGACGCCGACTTAGACGATCAGATCGTGATTGCCGAGCGTGAGGTTCTCGAGGCCAGGGCCGCCTACACACTACGAAATAACATAATCCGAAATGTTGTTATTACAGACCCTGTCATCAAAGCGGTACACGAAAGCGCCATATCCACTGCCGCAGAAAGGTGCGTATCTTATTCTATTTGCCGTCTATAACTTTTTACAAATCGAACCAATTATTAAAGTTCGTTCTAGGAGACTCGGCCCACTTATAAAGCAGCGGGACACCCTCGCAATGCTCCATGCGAGCCAAGCGTCGAGGCTATCTTCGATCTCCACCGAGCTACTCACTTCCCGCAAGGAGAATCGAGAACTAAACGAGGCAAACGCGCAGCTTGCTAGGACTGTCCTGGATTTGGCAGACAGCTTGAAACCCCAGGAGATCTCTCAGATTGAAGACGCCACTCTTCGTGGCGAGCTACAGCAGGTGGAGGCAAAATTGAAGGAGTCACGACGGGTCTGGCGTGTCATGAAGAGCGTTGTCTCGGGCATCATTGTTGGGAGCGGCGTGAACTGGACTATGGATGACGACTTGAGGGAACTAGTCATGGATGATGAGGACGAAATGTAACGAGAAAATGCAAAGGCGTTTTGAATGCTCTAGCTATTCAAGACGACCCGACGCGCGGAGTAATGGAACCGAAACCTAGGTACCTAACGCCATTCTGACACCCGTGGGAGATGATTTTAACTTCTTCCTTGGGTCTTACCGAGTATGATGTGATATTTCAATTGTTGGATGGCGGATGCTAACAACGAACGACGTAGAAGGATACTTGCTGGGGCTTCTGCTGTACCGCACCAGGGTACCTTGGGTACCTCAGGTGCTCGTCCCATGGCATAGGGCTTCGAAGGGCTTTGATAAAAGGCGTAAAATAACCGAGTGGAGGTGTTTAAAAGCGTCGTCCCCCCGCCTTTTCCATCTCTTAGAGTTCGCGATGATAGATACTTGAGTTCCTACTCTATACCTCGTTGAACTGAGGCGATACGACTTAGATTGGCTGGAGGCCCTTGATTAATTATGCTAACCCCTCGTGATTTGCGCAGGGACTCCTGGTCTTCGGAGCGCTGATTGGCCGGATAAGGAACTTCACGTGATAAAACTCGCCGTAAGTTATCGTGCGGGCCATTACTCAAAGGAGAGCTTGTAAATACCAGTTCTTTCAACACGACTTGTTCTTTCAGCTAACGACCCAAAAAGATTTGACGGAAGCTTTTCATGGCCGGATTGCCGCACCCCTGTCCACCCGCAAACGACAGGTGCCTGACATGCCGTGTTTACGTCGCTTGCCCAGCTCCGGGCCGCAGGAGTGCTTAGCGCGGAGACGGGGAGTGATCTTCGGAGGGCAGCTCTGCCCGTTGCCCGCCGGCAGCCGCGTCGCCCTCAGAGGCCGTACGGCAGCTGCACGGCCGGCGGAAGGGCAAATCAAGGCGACGGACCCCGACGCGGCGATGCTACTGGCGTTCGCAAAGGCTCGATCAAGCCGACGAGCCGCGGGCGACCGCGGGGGGGCGTTTGGAATGCGACTGTAAATGAGGGCTGCGGGCGGCGGGCGCGTTTGGGCGGTTGGGGGGCCCCCTCCCTTGGTCGTGCAGCGGTTGTGCTGATATAAGCGAGCCAGCCGACGCGCGGGCGGCGCAGCTTAAGCAGAGGGCTGCCCGCCTGCGCTGTGCCCTCCTTTGCCTGCGCTTCCTCTCCCTCTACTACGCCTGCTACAGTCTCTCATACAAACACTCTGCGAACGACACATAGGTAAGTCTCGCGTGTTTTGGTCCTCGCTATCGCGCCCGCTTGCCCGTACGCCATCACCACATATTTTTTATTCGCATTTCCCCCCACCACTGCACTCCGCACCTGTCGCACGCCCTGTTTCTGGCCTCTTCTGTCTTGCTCACCTACGGCTCCCATCGTCATGATTCCCTTCCACCATGCCCGACATCACGGCTCAGACACTACCCGACCTGGCGCTGTCGCATTCCACTTGGCGCAGCGATACGCGGTCGCATTAGTTTCCTGAGTGCGATTTTGACTTTTTCCTACTTTCTTCTGTCGTTTCCCCGCTCATTGAGGCCTCTTTGTTTTGGCTGCGACCGTGATTGCGCCCGGCCGTTCAGTCGCGCCTCACGCCTTTACCGGCCGGCGCTACCCAAACAAATGTCTTTCAACTACACGCACTGCCCCGTACATGCAACGCGTCCAACATTTCTCCTTGGGCACTCCTTTCAGATCATTTGAGTCTTTCCACGCGCAATCCCGTGTTTTTCTCGTCGCGTCAACCACGGGTGTCTATACATAGCCCGACTGATCGAAGTGTCCTCACTGACCTTTTCTCGCGCCACAGCGCTCCCAATTTCCGACTCACCCGAATCACATTCAGAACACTCAACAAAAATGCCCAAGACCGCCAAAGCCAGCCGCAAGGACAACGCCGTTCGCGGCAAGAAGAAGAAGGGTAAACTCCACATGCACCGAAGCTCTCACTTCTATATTTACTTACTTGATAGACCCGAACGCTCCTAAGCGCGGTCTCTCGGCCTACATGTTCTTCGCCAACGAGCAGCGTGAGAAGGTTCGCGAGGACAACCCGGGCATCAAGTTCGGTATGTCGCCTCATTTGTTTTAACTATTCTCCTTCAAGCTGACCCAATACTTCTGTAGGGGATGTTGGCAAAATCCTCGGCGAAAAGTGGAAGGCCCTTTCTGACAAGCAGCGTGCCCCGTACGAGGCCAAGGCTGCGGCAGATAAGAAGCGTTACGAGGATGAGAAGGCAGCGTACGCGCAGGTGGGGATTAGTCCTTAACCATTCACTTGGCGTGCTGTTTGCTGACGAAGACTCTTAGGGTGCCGATGAGGACGAAGAGTCTGAGTAGGCTCTTGAGACGAGGCCATCAAGACGGCTCGTGATGGTTAGTATGGTTCAACGGCGCTTCGGGATATGGGGGACTCCACCACTTCAGTGGTTCTTGAGATGGAAATATCTTACTATGCCCGTGTTCGAGTTCGGTGACGGTTAGGTATTTACTAAAGAATGACTCTTATATGTCTCGACTGTTTCTCTCATTTCCATTTTCCCTTGCAAACGGACGTGGGAATGGTCTCTACAAACACCTAAATCCGCATGCCACTTGGTCAGGCCCTGCCGACGCAGAATTTGAATAGGCTTCGGGTCTTGATACCAGCTTTACTAGACTGAGCACTGGCCAAGTGGGAAGCCACACTTGGTCGCTCCCATTCTTGTTTTATGTCGGAATGGGTTTGGTTCATTTTGCGTGATCATCCTCTGTACACTAGCTGCTTAGTCTATTGCAGAATACTAGATAGGTCTCGTGGCTAAAATTGACTTGACCATAGAGGTGTATGTGACCAATCAGCTTGTCTCAGTAGGCAATGTGTTCCATGTCCATGTGAGACCATTAGGACTTAAAATAACTAGAGACCGGTGGTCCAGGGCTTTCGTTAAATGTGGCTTAACGTGAATGTAGTTCACCAACTCCCAAGAGAGCGATCCATAAACCATAGGTCACACCTTACAAGTTATCATAAGTAACTCATGCCCCAACACAATGCATCGATTTAATATGTTGCTGACGCAGCTTGCGACTCCCTTTAACTACTATGATGCTTTGTTGTCCTATGAACTATCTAAGATCTATGGCATCTGGTGTCCTAGATTCGGTACCAGCTATGGTGGATCAATAGCCTTTAATAATACTTAGCCCAATCCTAGTTCATTGACTCATCCGTAGAGCATTCTCTTACCTGCTACCTATCGTGCATATATGTATGTTTTGAATAAACATGAGTTCAGAAGATCCATTGGATTTCACTACGACCCTCCTAGCGTGTGATTGCGTACTTTGGCTCTTTCAATTGCCAGTCACCACCACACCGCTCGGCTAGCACTCAGATAATGTGAATATGCGACCGAATTAATCAAGCGAGCTCACAATTATGTACCAAATAAACCAAAAACAACTGGTCATTCGATCAGTGGAGGTTGTCTAGAGGTTTAAGACGCTGCCCTCCCATCTAGCTAAGATACGGATAGGCAGAAACGTGGGTTCGAATCCCACCCTTCGCACGGGAACCTCCCTTTTTGCTTCACAGTATTTTTGCCCAAAGCCTACACGGCGGATACGAAAACATCTGCTTCATAGCATTTCTTTTTCAAGGTCAAGCCTCTTGCGGGTGATCAAGAGGCCTTCGGAAGCAAGAAAACCCGGGCACTTATCATGACCCTTTTTAAAGCTACTATATTCCCAAAAGACAAAACTGGCAACGCCATACTCGCCACCAATGCAAACCCTTCTCGCCATCCACACAAGCCACCATCATTCCCGTTGTAATACTACTGTCAGACCCATCAACCCAAGCATGACCGTCTTCAACCACGGATATTCGCTTAGTAAGATCGTGACATATCCCACAAAGGGGATGTAAGCCTTGACACTACCGATGACGTCGCGCTGGCGGTCGAGGAAGTCCTGTCCACGGGCATAGAGCTCCGTATCGTCGGCAGCGTTGTTGTCGCCTTTGGTGAGAAGCTGCAGCGGTTTTACTCTGCAAAGTCGAAAGTGTCAACACCTATTTCCGTCCTCTAATCGCAACCGACGAACCCGTCTACACATCCAACTCTAACAATTCGCGGCTCCAACCCAACAAGACAATGGACTTACCCTCCGCCAAACCGCCTTACCACCCGATGAACGATAGGAATGTCCTTTCCCCTAACGTTGTACACCACCACCTCGCCAATCTGCGTGTCCATGCCGCGATTCCACAGGAACAGGAGATCACCGCGCTGGAATGCCGGCTCCATCGAACCAGACAGCACCACCACGATGGGTGATGGCGAGTCCGTAGCCACCGATAGCCCCTTCCAGAGCATGAATGCCGTTGAGAGCACGAGCGCGAAATTGAGAACTTGCGCCGCGAGCTGGCGCGGTTGTAGGCCGAACATCTTGGGGTTGTTCTCCGGAACAAGGTGTCGATAGCAGGTGAGAAAGAAATAGACGATCTAGAGAGTGTCAGGGGCCCCCTCGTACTACAGGAACGAGAGAATACTATTAGAAAGGGCACACCCGTAGGTGGGAGCGCTGCTGAAGTGTGGACTAGTGTCCACTTCTCGACGAGTTCGGGAGGCCAGGAGGCCAGCTGTCGTTGACCGAGCTCCCGCGGGAGCCGGGCGACGAGATGTTCCGAGGTCGCAAGATCGAGCTATGTAGAAGCGCAAGAGATCAATCAACTCACAGCAATTTTGTCCTCAATCAATTCAAATACCGAGTAAGTTGATCTAATTCCAAAATTATTCGTTGTAGACATTGCCATATATTCTAGTGAAAAAATTTTGGGTGAACCTCAATCCAGCTGTACGAGCAATGCCCACTTATAGAATGCGCAAACTCTTTTCTTCAAAAGGTCAGACTATATAATAATTTTAACACTCAGTATTTAGAGCGTCAAACACATGCAAATTGTTCCCCACATTGATTCAGTGGGCAGAACGCTGTTGTGTCCTTAGAAAGGTAGATCTTTTGAAAGACGCGAGCTCTGATTGGCCCGAAAGCTTTGCTCAACCTCGGCCATCGTCATCACAAGCTCACCCGGCCGACCGAATGTCGTTCCGTTGATATGCGTGTGCCGCCGACTCAATTGTACTTCATCGCCTCCCTTGCACCTTCACCACCACAAATAGCGATGGCGGCCCGGACGCTTCCCGCATCTGCTCTCCGGCGAAACATTCTATCCTCAAGCTGCCCTCTCCGTCCGTTCGCAGCAAGCTCTTCAATTGTCCCAATTGCATCCACTAGGACCCTCGCCACCCCTCGCCATGCATACCAGCCGGCTTTACGGATCGCGGGCCAGCGGCGTACCCTATCCAGCAGCGCGCGTACGCGCCTTGCATCTGCGGTCGAGAGCGCTCTTGATCCGTCACAACTGGACCGCGAGGCGGATGAGGTAGACGTGTGCATCGTTGGCGGCGGCCCGGCCGGCCTAGCGGCAGCGATCCGGCTCAAGCAGCTAGCCAACGAGGCAGGCAAAGAGGACTTTCGAGTGCTGCTGCTAGAAAAGGCGGGAGAGCTAGGCGATCACATTGTATCGGGCAACGTAATGGAACCGTCGGCCGTTGACGAGCTCCTGCCAGACTGGCGTTCAGAGGACAATCCTAGTCGCTTCGAGCACATCACGCCGGCGCGCGAGGACCGCATGCGTTTCCTAACGAAGAACCGGGCGCTGTGGATACCGTCGCCGCCGCAGATGCACAACGCCGGGAACTATATCATTAGTTTGAACCAGTTCGTCAAATGGCTGGGCGAGCGTGCCGAGGAAGTTGGCGTCGAGATCTACCCGGGCTTTGCCGCGTCGGAAGTCCTGTACACATCGGACGGCTCAGTCAAAGGCGTGGCAACGAATGACCTAGGCATCTCACGATCAGGGCAACCTAAGGACACGTTCGAGCGCGGCATGGAGTTCCACGCGAAAGTTACCCTACTAGGTGAGGGGTGTCATGGCAGTCTGACGAAGCAGGTCGTCAAAAAGTACGACCTGCGACGCGACAGCCAGCACCAGACCTACGGTCTCGGCATCAAAGAGGTGTGGGAGATAAAGCCGGAGAAGTTTCAGGAAGGCCTTGTGATACACTCAATGGGATACCCGCTCCCTTCGGACACCTACGGTGGCGGCTGGATGTATCATTTTGGAGACAACCTCGCCAGTATAGGTCTCGTGGTCGGGCTTGACTACCCAAACCCGTGGCTAGCACCATACGGAGAGTTCCAGAAAATGAAGCAGCATCCCTTGTACCGCTCGGTTCTTGAGGGCGGCAAGTGCATCTCGTACGGCGCGCGAGCACTCAACGAGGGCGGCTACCAGTCCATCCCGAAGTGCTCATTCCCCGGTGGTGCGCTCATCGGCGACTCAGCGGGGTTTTTGAACGTGCCCAAGATTAAAGGCACCCATACGGCGATGCGGTCCGGTATGCTCGCGGCGGAGGCGACTTACTCAGCCATCAGCAGCGCCGGCGGCGGCGCTCAAGCGGGCTCCATCTTCCTCTACGATTACGAGGATAAGCTGCGCGCGTCGAGCATCTGGTCTGAGCTTTACCAGGTGCGTAACATGCGGCCTTCCTTCCATGGCCCACTCGGCTTGTACGGCGGCATTATGTACTCGGGGTTGGAAGCATATCTGTTCAAGGGCAGAGTACCCTGGACACTGCCGCACAGCAAGCCGGACTATGCGGCTACCAAGACGGCCGACCGGTGCAAGAAGATTGAGTATCCAAAGCCGGATGGCGAGATCAGCTTTGATATCATGACAAGCGTGAGCAGGACGGGGACGAATCATGAAGAGGATCAGCCGGTGCATTTGCAAGTCAAGGACTGGGATAAGCACGCGCTGAAAGAGTGGCCTAAGTATAAGGGAGTGGAGAACAGGTTCTGCCCGGCTGGTGTTTACGAATATGTTGAAGATGACAGTAGGGAACTGGGTGTCAGGTTCCAGATTAATGCGCAGAAGTAAGTCGCACGTTTGTTGAGATGCAGCCCCGTCTGTTACGGCTAACTTTCAAAATAGTTGCATCCATTGCAAAACTTGCGATATCAAAGTTCCAGACCAAGATATTAACTGGGTAACTCCCCAAGGTGGAGAAGGCCCCAAATATGTTCTAACATAGAAAGGTTGGGTCAAGGTGTGTAGTAGTTTACGTATATAAGCGCATTCAAGGAGTCCAGTGCATGTGCATATAAGTGGGGTCGATATCCGATCGTCTTTCGACATCGTATATTATTGCACTTTCCATTTTTATTGTACGCTCAGATCAAACGCGGTCCATCCGTAATTCTCAACATACTTCCCGGACAATAAGATGAGATTTGGTGCCAAGACACTATTAGCTTTTTCGCGTTAGCTTACTAGGTAGCACATCTTCGTGCACGTTCAATTGTCTCACCCCCACATAATCCTTTCTTCACTCCCATACAGGTCCGTCAGGATACGACCATGGACTAAGCTATATAATGTCGTACAAGTATCTTCCCCTGCGACAAAACAACCAAATCCGTCTCGTTGAGATTCAACCAGGAAGATATGACTCTGAGACAATATACTGTACAATCATACGGAGATGCAGATCGGATCCATCGCTGAAGTACGAGGCGCTTTCGTACACGTGGGGAGACGCATCCAAACTAAAGCGCATCATCGTCAAGCATTCCAAAGATTTCTACGTCACCTCAAACTGCTACGATGCCCTGCGCCAGCTTCGGGACCCTCAGGAGAAGAGGCTGATCTGGATAGACGCTATCTGCATCAACCAGAAAGACGACGAAGAACGTACCCAGCAAGTTCGCGTCATGGGTGAAATTTACAAAGGCGCATCTAGAGTGTTGGTTTATCTTGGGGAAGTAGACGAGAATAGCAAGAGACTATTCGCATACATTGCCAGGTTCGAGGCGGAGATTGATGGAGTTCATACCTCGTGGGCCGATCTCACGGATGATGATTCTATCCTCGTCGAAACTGCGAGAGCAATCCTTCGACGTCCTTGGTTTAGTCGCGTATGGGTCATTCAAGAAGTCTACCATGGCCGCGGCTACACTACGGTTGTTTGCGGACCCGATTCGGCGCACTGGGGTGACTTTGCGTCATGCTGCATGGATTTATGCAAGTCCGGGCCTGGCGATTTCGGGCACTACAGCGCTCGTCTACCAACATATGTTTTTACAATTGGTTCTAGTGAAGACAGTGCGTTACCTCTTTATGAGCTGCTGTGTCAAACGCGGTTCGCCAACGCAACCGATCCTCGAGACAAATTCTTTGGTATCCTCTCAATGGCTACGGATCAAGATGATGTGGCATCGCTTGCAAATTATGATCAGAGCACGACGACCATATACACCGTGATTGGCCTCTACTTGTTACGGACTACAAAGCTACTTTTGCTTCAAGCAACTCGTCACCAGCATTCTAAATTTCCAGGTTTAGCCTCGTGGATACCGGACTGGAGCCGAAATGTTGACAGCGATCCGTTTTGGAATGTTAGGCCCGATGAAGTGGAGGCATGGTTGGATGAATACGAGATAG